TATTAAATATTTGCGATTTCAGAATATATATGTGAATAAAAATTGTTGAGCTACAATCTTTATTATCCAATATACCTTTATATGATTGTTGCCCTCAACAATCAGACTTACCATACTCATCAGATTCCATGCCTATATATAATTTTATCTTTAATTATATTAAAATATTATTACTATTCTAGTTCTTATCTCCAGATTCAATCGCTCATATAGATTCTATTGTTATAATAAAATATCTTGTATATAAAAAAATTTATTTATTTTCTTTCCTTTTTGCATACATTATTTATATCTCTTATATTCATAATTAATTTTCTCTCTTCATTATCCAAAAAAATCTAAATAAAAAATAAAATTAGTTTAAAAGTGTATTCCATTAAATGTACTTTTGTTTAAGTACAACTTTTCATTATCCAATATAACTTTATATGGATTGTTGCTACCAAGAATCAGATTTGGCATATGAGATATTGTTAAATAATCTTATACAAGTAATTTTTTCCAGCTAATACTAGTTAAGCCTAACATATATAATATCTTAGTTACGGAAAAATGATTTTTATAAGAATTTAATTTCTTCTGTATAATATGTTTGGATAATTTAGCGGCCTCTTTTCCACTTGTGATCGTAAAGGGCAGTATTAAATTTCACGGCCATAATAATATAAGGGAATTATGACATTGCGATATTTATACATCGCCCCAAAAATTCGATCCATCTTTTGTAGTGCTGTAAACATTTTTAAAAAAATCGAACGCGTTCGCGTTCAACGTTCATTGACAAAAATCGAACGCGTTCACGTTCACGTTCAAATTCAAAAAAAGGAACGCGTTCATTCAAAATTTTATGATAAATTTTTTTTTAAATTTAATTTAATATAAATAAATGCCTTATATTTTTCAACACAATATATTAGCCATGATAAAAAATAATAGTTTTATTTTGATAATATAATTATAAATACAATATAATAGAGCAATAAAAAAATAAATTTATAAAAAATTTTTCGTATTAATTTTTAATAATAATTGCTTTTCAAAATTTTCATCTGATAGGCATGAACGCTTGGCAGTTAATACAGCGTTAGCTATACTAAAAACTATTGAATTACCTTTTGATTTTAAAACAGTGAAATATTTATGATATTTGGGCCATGGTATTTCTAATTCATCTAATATTGAATTTTGATTTTCAGAATCGATGATGAAATATTTATATCCATGCAATTAATAAACTTTAATCTGGTACGTTAATTGCAATATGAAAGAGGAAAAAGTAAAAACAGCTGATTAAAAAATATAAGACTTTTTTGTTAAAAAATTGGATTAAATATTAATTTTTCAAATAAATAAAAATATAAGACTTTTTTGTTAAAAAATGCGGATTAATATTAATTTTTCAAATAATAAAAATAAAAAGTGTTTTTAAAATTGAACGAACGTAAAATTGAACGCGTTCATCAAAGAAAAGGAACGCGTTCACGTTCAAAGTTCGTCAAAAAAAAGGAACGCCGTTCATCACCTTTTTTCAAAAAAACGAACTTCGTTCACGAGCGCGTTCATTTTGAACGCGTTCGTTTACAACACTAATCTTTTGCGACACCAATTTAATAAAGGTATCTTAATCTTAACTAAAAAAAAGCCGTGCGTACGCAGGAATTGGCTGTCTAGGGGGGGGGAATATTTAAATTTTTTTATGATAAAATTATTGCTATTTAAAAATGACAGGCATAAATTTATTAGGATTAATAATTATTTCTAATACTCATTTTAAATTAATGTGAATTTATAAAAAATTAAATATATATACTAGCATATAAAAAACTATAAAATAAATGTGAATTAAAAATATTAATAGGATATAACCGGCGGCATATGAAAAACTATAAAATAAATGTGAATTATAAAATATCAAGTGGATATAACCAGCATATAAATTTAAATTTTTTGAGCCTTTAAAATTTATATATAAAGTATAAAAAATTTGAATGTTGGAAATATAAATTAATACACAAATTTCTTAGGAATAATTGTATTTGTATGCAATAACTTATAAAGTAATCATGATAAAATATACAACACATTAAAAAATAAATGACAAATAATATTATTAAGAAGCCTTTTATATATTTATAATGTAAAATCCAATCTTCGTTGGGATTGAGTAATTTTTCAATTTTCTTATCCTTGGCGTCAATTGCCTATGAATATTCAAAACGGGCAAACCATTCAATCTACTTTCAGAAGTTGTACTTCTTAGGAAAGTTTTTATTCTTCTTAAAGAAGAGAATGTTCTCTCATTAGTTGCAGTACTAATGGGAAGAGTTCCTAATATATATAATAATTTTAATATATTGGGAAAATTATCTAAGATGTTTGAAATGATGCAAAGCATACATAGGATTTTTAGGGACTATATCAACCATAGTTAATAATTAAAAACAGTTTATTTATTTAGGTTATAAATGTATCTAAGAGAGGGATAAAGACATTTATTTTATAATACTCTTCTACTGACTCTATATTAATGGTTGGACGATGAGCTTGCCTTGCTGCATCGAGGGAGACAAAGATTAAACTCGTATAGCTCTGCTTTATTTGTATAATTAAATAATTTATCAATACATTCTAATGAGAAAAAAAATTAAAGTATTGAATCCAAAATTTTACTTGCTTCTGATGAAATATCTTTAAGGCCATTGTGATATTTTAGTAAGAGCATTAATAATCGGCTCTTCTAACACAATAAAAGCTGCTACTCCTTGATGGCAAAGACTCCATCTTGTTAGACAAACTTTATGCAATTTCTTTCTCCTTGTTGGACAAGGAGTTTCAGAATTCTGTCTATTTTATCAATTGGGGTATTCCATTAATCAGCGTCTACATGAGTGGGAGGGGTAGGAACATTTTCCATCCTATTTTTTTGAGAGGGTAGGAGGTAAGCTTATTTATTGGGGGTAGGATAAAATTTTTTTTTTGGGGGGGGGGGGGTTATCTATTAAATTTTGAGATGAAATAGGACAAAATTTATTGCTGTAAAAATTATACTTTTATTATAGTATTATTATAATACAATTCATCGACCAAATCTATATATTGCAAACAATCATACACATTGTTTTCCAAATAAACTATCCTTTTTAATGTAATTTAAAAGGTTTAGATATTTTAGCAAGCTCATAATGCCATGATAACTAATTGTAAATAATGGAGGTTTTAATTGAATTTATTATCTAAAAAATAAATTATTTATAATCACAAAATATAGATAGTTGGTAGTAGATATAGATTAATTTAGGTTATTCTTTATAAATTCTTTGAAAAGAGTATCAATAAATAAATAGGTAAAAATAATGATAAAGAGACACCGCCGCCGAAGGCGACGATTTTTTAGGGGGTAGGCAAAGGTTTTTGAAGGGGGTTTGCATCCAGTGAAAATCCTGTCATGTAGACGCTGCCATTAATGCAGAATCCCCTAATGCTTTAAATTTTACAAGACCACTAAAATTACCTTCATTATCATTATTAATGAAATTCAAACTTCCTAAATCCAAATGACCATGTAATGCTGGGGTCTGCAATCCACAATATAGAATACCTCAATAGTTAGTTTGAACTTACATCTATTTTCCTTTGCAATTTTAATCAAATTTTTGTAAATATGTGAAATAAGTGGGAATCATATTCCCACCTTGAATTAATTTAAAGAAATCCAGTTCACAGCTTTTGCTATAATTTTTTTATTGATGATTGTCATATATTTTCCAGCATCTTTGTCCTTATTGAATGGAGTCTTAACAAGACTGTTAAGCTTAACTATATTTTTTCCAGCATATCTTTGGCCAAACAGGACACATATATTGCAATAAGCTCCGGTCTCGGATGGAATATGAATCTATTATTAAATAAAATATTTATCATAGGTATCTTTAATACCTTTTTAAGATTTATTTTTCTAGGCTTATTATAAAATGTTATAAAATTAGTTGTACTTTTTTGCTTTTTTATACGATGATTAGGATTTTCACCATCATCAATATATAAATATGTCCATAATTATTATTTGACTAGAAATTTGAAAATAATAGGTAAATATTGCTACGCCGAAATAATAGATATATTTAATTAAATATATATTTAAAAAGAAAGAGATAGGAGAAATATTATAAAGTATAAATTAATAACAATAATGTTTTTTTAAAATATATCCGGCATCTGCATTTTTCGAGTTGAGGGAGATTTGTATCCCCCCCCCCCCTCGCTGCGTAGGCGCCTGTGCGATACACTTAATTTAAAATCTAAATTATTTCAAGTCAATTTCAAATGGTAAATAATATAATATTAATACAATTTTTTCATGTAAAATTACATAAAAAAAATAACAACTTTCTTTTTTAAATGAAATATTTAATTAAGAAATATAAACACAATACAATCAATAACATGATAGGTTCATCTCATAAATTACAGGTTTATATAATACAAATACGAGAGAAATGATCAAAAGTGCATACTGGAAATAAAATATTTTAAAGCTTCGAGCCTCGTCAATTTGAAAATCATCAATGATAGAAAACGAAAGGACCGCAGAATAGCATTAAGGGATTGTGGTTTAACCTAAAAGTGGGATATTGTATAATGTAGATCCGCATATCAATAATGACGGAGACGTAGAAAAAGTAGAAGATAATAAAAGTAAGACATAGCAAAAAGAGTTGTTTTGAACGTTACCATGACAAATTTTGTATGGGGAGAATTGTACTGTATAATCGATTAATTTATTTTATAATAAATATTATATTTACCTTAACCTATTAATGTAATAGATTTGTTATTTTAGATAATTGAATTGTTGTTATTTAATATAAATATAAATCTATTCGATTAATATAATACAGAGTCAGGATATCAATTTTATATTAAAATAAAATATCCATTCTTTTAACCTTTCAATAATAGCATATATTTTAAAATATATTTCGCAATTTATAGACATCATTTTAAATATTATATAAATACTAATGTCCATTCAAAATCCAGTGGTAAAAATTAATATTTTTATTCGATATTTTTATTTTAAAATAGCCAAAATTGTATAAAAGTATAGTGGATGATGTGATTCATAGCTGTAGAGATATTTTTTTGGATGATGGAATTGATGAACAGATACTCCATGAATTGCGTCAAGTATACTAACAATCTGATTTTTAACTATGTAACAAATAGTTATGGGAAACTAAACTAAGCCATTCGAAAGCTGTGGACAATATGTTACTTGAGCCTGAACATGTTATCTCTACACAAATCGCTATTCAACAACAGCAAGCTCAACAACATGGTTACTTCTTTTTTTCTATATCATAAAAATATTTCAATTATAATTTTAGCTGCAAAAATTGCTGCTGCTGCTTTTCTATTACAAAACAATGCTTTATATCAACAGTCATATATTAATCAAAATTTTCACCCAATAAATAATGATATTGTAAGTAAAAATTATTTTTAATTAATATTTATTATACTAAATTCACTAATATTTGTAAATTTTATTATTAAGAACAATAAAAGTTATCATTAGAAAGTATTAAAAATAATTAAATTATAGATATATATTTTCCTTTAAAATTATCCACTTGGAGTATCACATTTTTAAAATATAATATATTGCAGATTGATTTTAATTATTTGGCTGATCATATTTTGAATTGCTTCCAAAAATATTGAGCATGATTTAAATATATCGGATCCTAATCAATAAAAAAAAATTAATTTCATCATAACCTAGGGTTTTTATTTTTAGGCCTGTCCCTGATTTTAATCTTAAAACCCTGCCAAGTAATTTTAGGAGACTTTCATATTTTCTAAGGTTTTAAAAATCATATTATGAAATTCTGGTACTAGTAAGTCTGCATGCTTCCCAATTTGCTTATATAGAATCAACTTCTAGCATAAAGGGGGGGGATGCAAAATCATATAAGAGGTTATTTTGATTTTCATTTTTTTATTAACTTTGATTTCATATGGGTCTATGGGCATATGACCTTGACTTTAAAATTGATTACTTAGACCTCAAAAACAATTTAATTATTCTGTCCTAATTTTTTTATGCAAATTATTAAAAAAATAAATATAAAATGTTTATTAATTTTTCTGATTTTTTTTAGAATATTATTGTGACTTTTCAACAGTATAATAAAAATCTGCAGAGTTGTTTAAAGATACTTTTTATATGGATATAGATACACATCATCTAAAAGTTATCAAGATACAGATACAAATTTTATTATACTCTTATATAAGGTTTGCATAAATCTAAGTTAGGATTCTATTATGAAAATGAAATGAGGTAGAAAATTTATTGATGTGATATCACATTTATCAAAATATAACCAAATAATGATTTTTATATTTTAATATAATGGTCAATATATTATTAAATGATTATAAATAATTATTCAGTAATAAAATATTTTCAAAATTTTGGTCATTAAGGCATCCTTGTCTTGTAGAGGCATTTTTAGCTACACTAAAGTCTTTCTACCAGGGTGCTTGAAGGGATTGTGGTGATATATTTTATGAATAATAATTTTATATCAGGAAATTCTATATTTTTGGGGGGAATAATGTTTTGATTATTTTTGTAAATAAAGGACTTTCAACAATTGAAAATGACTGAATGCCAGCTATAATAAAAGCAGTTATTAAATCATCTAAAGTAGTGTGGGTTTAAGTCTGAGGTCTCTTGGCAAAAATATCAGTGGACAATGAGCCTAGTCCAATATTTTCTTTTATAGATTTATTCTCCTTTCCCTTTTTTATTTTCATTAACAGTGTTTGATATTTTCTCTTAAAATTTAAAATTACAATTGTAAACATTTATTTATAAACCCTTAAATATTTTACAATGTTGCAAGTTAAGGTAATGCTAACTGAAATTTTTGTATTTTTTGGTAGACATGGCAAACATTTTACTAGAGACTTGTTTTCTTTATTTTGAGATATTATTTTAAAATATGCTTTACAAATTGGCCATGGAAAAACAACATCTGAATTTGTTGATGCTTCATTGATTATTACATCTTCCTCTTCTTCTTCTTCATTACTATTAATATTAATCTAAAATAAATTTTTAAAATTAGTATAATAAAATAAAATTAACCAATTACATTGAAAATAAAAATGCAGATTCCTTGAGATGGATTGTAATATCAAAAAATGTCTGGTTTATTGATAAACATGGACATAATATATGAATATTTATATATATTTTTTATAGATATGTTTTAGTATTTTATTTATATAATTTTTTATTATGGTAGTCTTAATATTTTTTAATATATATATTTAAATTATATGCTCATATGAAATAAAATAAATTTTGCATTCAAGTATTTTTATTTATAATATAAAAAAATATTAAATAAAAGTATATCAAAATGTTTCTAAAAAGTATCCAAAATATAATACATACCTCTAAAATAATATCCAGATACAGATACTTTAAAAAAATCTATCTAGATACAGACACCACATTTTTATGTAACAACTCTGAATTAAATTTGACTTGGATCGATATTTAATTTAAAATTTTGGAAGCTGATCTTTGAAAAAAATACTTTGATCACATTGGCTAGACAAAATATTTTTCTTGAATCAGATTATACAAGGTCCATAGCCAGAAATTTCCAATTGGGGAGAGTGTAGGACTATGTATTTGTGAGGGCCAATTTTTTTTGAAAATTTGTAAAAATAAATATAAATATACAAAAGAATACTATCATATAATACTTGATTTTTAATTTTAACATAAATGAATTACAATATAAATTTTGGGTAATTTTTTCATATACCATTAAAACTAAATTATATCTTTATTCAAATATTTCAAATATATGCATTAACAATTAATTACTATACATGTATGCTATAATAAACAAAAGACATAAAATATAAATTTACATTAATGATATTGAAACCATTTTTTTTATTTTGCAACATTCAATCTTGTATTTTTATACTGAATATTAATTCCATAAATATTGATAAATCCATGTTGTCAGCCTTACAAAAATCAATAATAACTAAGTGCTCATTGAAATAGCTTTTTTTACAATTGAGAAGATAATAGGGCTGTGCTGATTCACATATCTTTCACCAAATTAATATTTTCTAATATTGGTTCAAAATCGAACTGATATTTATATTCATTTTTTTATCACCCCCATTTGAACCAAATATAATAAGGAAATTTTATATTTGGATTGGCCAATAATCAATATTTTTAATAAATTCTATTTAGATCATATAAAAATGGGATTGACATATTTGAATTTAATTGTTTAAAATAAAACTAATTTTCCTAAACGATTCCTAAGTTTGGAATACACTCCATATGATGAAAATACTCAACTGAAGCTGTTAATTCTTTTACTATGAATTAAATGATCCTGCTAGTCATCATCATTATTTTTACTTCACCTAAAAACATAATTTTATTAAACTGGCCAGATGTAGCTTAAAATTAGTATGACTGATAGATAAAAGATTGGTTGAAGATATAAAATTAGCCATGTCCACTAGTTTATATAATAATTAAATTAATAACTAATCTAATTTAGATATAATTAATCTCTTTTTTAAATTTTGTCTAATAACCAAGCATTTTAAAAATGAATAAATAGCTTATTTGATTTGTTAAATATTTTGTTATAAACAATTGATTTATCTTCAAAAAAAGGTTAATTAATCCATATTTATCATAATATAATTTATATACTAGCCTCTATCAGAAAAATGGAGGAAAGGGAGAGTTTTAACTAATAATCAAGAATATTTTAAATTAAGGGTATTAACAAATATTTAAATTTGGCTAATGCATCAGGACACCCAATTGGGAAACAAAAGTAGTTAAAATTAAAATCAAACCACAATTATTATTAGTCAATATAATATTTTAAATTTGGTTTAACAGTTTTATTTGAAGATATTCATAATAGTATTCGTTTTAGAAAATGAATGAATTTCTTTCCCACTTATCCTGCTTTCACAGTTAGCATTAATTCGCGGGAAGTATACAAAATTCGTTTAAAAAAAATACAAAAATATAGCATATTTTTTATACTTAGCCGCGAATTCGCGCCAGCCATCCCTACACTTTCTAGAATCCCTCCCCTCTGAAAAGTATCCCCACACCACTCCAAAAAAACAGTTAATTATTTTTGACACTCTTTTAGCAGTATTATATGAGCTAGTAGGAATGGTTAATAAATATTTATATAAAATTATAAATTAATGGAGAGCAGAAAATCTTTAAAGTAAACGAATATTTTTCCCAGTTAAATCGTAAGTCTCAGAATCATCATCATCAGAAGAAGCTAAATAATGTATTAAAATAAATTTACAATTCTCAGAATCTAACAAATCTTTGTATTTAACCTCCAGGTCATGTGTATTACCGTTTTAGCCATAATAAATATTTCGAAACTTAGACTTTTTTAAAAAACTTGATTTGGATTTAAATGGTAATTTACAGATATCCTCAATATCATCCTTAAGGAATATCTTTTCCGCCATTCCCTTTGTTGTAAAAAATGATAATTTAAAATTTTCCTCGATTCGTTATTGAATCCTTCATTAAACTGCATAATGTCAAATCAAGTGCAGAATACTCTGGTTCTAAAATAAAACATTATATTTAATAATGAAAATATGTATACCTCTCCTTTTTGGATTGTAATGTTCGAAGCCTAATACTTTCAAAACTAAAATGTAGATTTCTCCCCTTCATAAAATTGTGCCTTTGAAAAAACATTCACAAATTCAGTGTTATTATCTATTAGGATTAAAAATAATACGACAATAATTTAAATTACACTTCTCAAATTAATCAGGCAATCCTTAGCCTAGTGAATTTGATTTATTGCAAACCCTAATCCTTCTAAATGGTTTTCCGTTTTGTACAAGCCAACTAGCACTAGCCATGGTAAAAGTGACAGATTAGAATCCTTTAAATTTCTCAATGCTGCCCTCAAAGTATTATAACGTGGGAAAAATTTTGCAATAGCTTTATATGATGATAGTCAGCTTCTATAAATATAAAATAAACATTTTAAGTCTAAACAAATAAGATAATATTACCGAGTGGTATTCTTGATGCATAAAAATCATTGCGATTTTGTCAGTACATCACTGACATGCTTTAAGCACTGCATATCTTTTAACGCCAATGAAATGCACATGAGTCTCGTCAGGGGTGGACTAGCTACGATACGGCTTCGTGGGCATTTTTTTATAGAGGCCTCATAGCCCCCATACTCCCTATTTGGCGGGTTTTCGGCACGCTTTTGCCTGGCCTTCGGCCGGGTTCTCTTAAATGGCTTCGAATTATATGAATTTTATTTTACTTCTTATTTTTGAAAATAGGTTCAAACGATTTATTTTTTCTAAAAAAAAAGAATAATGACACGATAATCATATTTTATTTTA